TGGGATTTTTCTTCCTGCTCATGTGCTTTGAAGCTGGACCGTTCGCTCTGAGGCATGTATCTCTTCTCCTCCCAGGAATTCAACCCACTTCTGGGGAAAAAGGAGCCCAGGGCGTGTGTCCGGTAGAAAGCGCGGACGTATCTTCATACTAGGTGGTGGGAGATATTTTTCTGTATATAAAGCAAGGGCTGCTGCTGGAGCCATTTTATTCCTAAATAATTTAACTACATTCAAAGATAATCTGATGTTATTGTAGGAAAGTGTATTTCTAATAAATTCCACTTGATCTGGGTGAATCAATTCAGGCAGCGCATAATTGAGTCTGTTAGCAAGGACTTTAGCAAGAATTTTGCAATCAGCGTTAATTAAGAAGATGGGACAATAATTTGTGCATAATTCTGGATCTTTTCCTGGCTTGTGAATCAAAGTAATAACAGCAATGCTCTGGCTGGTGGTGGGATGGTGTCATTAGGTGCTGATTTATAAGTACTTAGAAAGGTTTAATTTCATTTTGCTTCGAGCAGGGGCTCCCTGCCCCCACATTCTCTGCTCGGAGTGCGCCGCCGAGATGGCAGACAGCCTTCCTCTCTCTCTCTCTCTCTCTCTCCCTGTCGTGGCGACCTCCTGCTCCCCGTTTCCGATTTTATTCTGCAGCCGAGACCCCGTTCATTCGTCGGTGTGTTTTCCTGATACTCTGAATTACTTGGAGTTAGGGACGCCAACTGGATGTGTGCGTGTGTGCGTGTGTGCGTGTGTGTGTGTGCATCCATGTGTGCATGAGCGTGTGTCTGCGTGTGCATGTGTCCATGTGTGTGCATGGATGTGTGTGTGAGCGTGTGTGTCTGTGTGTGAATGTGTGTGCATGCGTGTGCATGCATGTGCGCGCACGTCCATGTGTGTTTGAGCGCGTGTGTCTGTGTGTGGATGTGTGTGTGCGTATGTGCACGTGTACGTGTGTCTCTGTGTGTGAATGTGTGTGTCCACGTGTACGTGTGTCTCTGTGTGTGGATGTGTGTACATGTGTGTGCGTGCATGTGTGTGCATGTGCATATGTGCACACGTACGTGTGTGAATATGTGTGCGTGCATGTGTGTGCGTGTGCATGTGTGCACACGTACGTGTGTGAATGTGTGTGTGCGTGCGTGTGTGTAATGTAAAGACAAAGGGCTTATACAGCTTCGATGGAGAATTTTTCCCACGCCACTGGGCGGGCGGGCGGCAGGAGCCCCTGACTACAAGTCAGGAAGCATCCCTGGTTTGTACGTTGCTCCTAACGGGTTATCGACTAGGGGGGACAAATGTGAGCCTTGACGTCCAGCCACAGGACGAACTCCGGGCACCACGGAACATCGGGGGAGCACTGGACCTGGGCTTCCTCCCGGCCATGGGACCTCGACCTTCCTGAGCCTCAGTTTCCTCGTCTGGGAAAGCGAGAAAGATGACCGATGACCTTGGAAATGCGCGCTGACTAAAGGCCTCACTGCAGGGCCGGCCCAGCTCTCGCGGGCTCCGGTCTGAGGACCGACACGCGCTGACCGTCAGGCCGAGGCTACGCTGCCGCCTTTTCAGTGCACCTGGCTCCCTCCAGCCTTCCAGAGGATTCCTCCCCGCCCACTCGGCTTGGCCTGCCAGCCCTTTGGAGGCGAGGCCCAGTCTGCATGGCCTCTGCCTGGAAGCCCCAGCCCACAACGGCAACGGGCTCTGCTCGCCTCCTCCACAAGGACGAGTCCTTGGTCTCAGAGGCCTGGTCAGGCGATGTGTGGAGCCGCTGACAGACGGCGCGACGGATCTCCTTGTTCTAAATGAGGAGAGAAAGGTTCAGAGAGATGGAATGGAGACCACACGAGGTGTGGCAGAGCCAAGGCAGGGGCCCGGGCCATGTCACAGTTAGTTCCCGTTAGACCACGTGTCCCCGGGCCACCAGCAATGTGTGCACTCTTGGCACCGGCTCGGATACGAGTCCTCTAAGGCGGGCGCTCTGCTCGTTTACCTGACATCTACCTGTGTGGCCCGCCCTGGTGAACACCCTCTCCATGACTCAGGGAGGAGCGACGTCCCATCGGCACGTGGCCTTAGTGCCCGTCACAGCGTGATCGGCTCAGGCCTTCGTGGGCGCTGGTTGAGCGGGCAGTTGGCTTCCACACGCAGACGCCGTCCTGACGTCTGTGCACGTGCCCGTCATGTGTTCACCCCGGCTCGTGCCCCACCTACCCCCGCTGCTGGGCGACCTCTCTTAATAAAAACCCAATTAGTATTTCTTTAACTCGCCTCCAGATGCTTAAATACCATCACCCCAAACACAACGCAATGCCCCCAGTTTTCTATTTCAATCGAGAATTCAAGTAGCATCTTGACTTGTACATAATAGATCAGTAGCAAAATCATGAAATGCTGACATCCTTAATAATAGCAATTAGTAATCAGTTGTTTCTTAAGTAGTTTGATTACACCGGTTACCAAATTGTGTAGCTGATGTATTTGGGGGCAAGAGGGGTCTTGCCACCCCTCCCCCAGCCGTCCTTTCTCCCTCCCTGTGTTCTTGGGGCTTAGTCAGCCGATGGGCATTGAAAAAAGCAAGGACAGGTAATGCAAGTCACTGATATTAAACGGTTGAGACCTGGCTTTAGCAGAAAGGAGAATTAGCTAATTCTCTGCAGAAAGACCAACCCCAGCGGCATCTGTGCCCACTCGGCAGAACGTTAGCCAAGGAGCTTGGCTCCCCCACGCTAGGCATGGCACTCGGAGTGTGAGCTCCTCCTCGGGGTGAAGACCCCTTGCCAGGCTCTGGATGGCCACGAGGGCCTTGCCCTTGGGGAGGTCGTGTCTGAGTTTGGAATATTCAGTGGATGTAAACACTGGCCCAGCGAGGCTGCGTGTCTCAGTTACTGATGGAGACGGAGGGCAGCATGTTCTCATGGAGGCAGGAGGTGAGTCTGCAGGCTGGACGGCACGTAGCTGGGGCCAGCTTTGTCCCTCCCATGGAGGTGGGGTCCGGAAGGGTAGGGAGGCCTAGGGGCCTAGAAGAGGTGCTCACACACCCCGGGATTTGGGGTTGGCCCATGTGGGGAGGTTCCAGTTAGGATGGGGTGGCTGGCACAGGTTGGGGAGGTGACTGTGGGTGAGCTGGGCGGCTAAGCCCTGTTTGAGAGAGGGAGAGAGGAGAGAGAGAACACCCCAGCTCCTGTGAAGCCGGCGGGTCCCTCCCAGCGGGGAGACTCACACAGTCGGGGGCTGGGGAGAAATCATGGCGTCTGACGAGGAGGGCCGAGTGCCCAGGGGAGACTTCCGTGCCCTTCCGAGCACCCCGTGTCCACCCTTGCAGCTGAGCAGGAGGCTTCTTCGCGGGGGTACAGGCGAGTCGCGCCTGTGGGGGATCCTGACCGAGGGCCGTTGCCTGCCTCCTGCCTGCCGCGGGCCGTGCTGGGACAAGAGTCTGCACTTTGTCTCATTATCTGCTGGTTAAATTGGTAAGTTCTACCTGAGGGGATTCTCCAGAAAAAGACGTTCTCCCCGTTTTCTTGTCTGGCCTCTCTTTTCCCCTCTGCCTTGGTGGTGATTATTCTTTTTCTGCTCTATTTGGTGGGAGTAATAAGTTCACAGACCAATGAACATGGAGATTTCACCCATAGATGCAAGGTCCCTGTGTGTTCATGTGAGAAGCAGAGAGAATTGTGACTTTTCTTTTTCTTATCTTTGCAAATTGGTGCCTCTTGAACAATATCCAGAATTCTGTCAACCAGGTTGTCCTTGAGACGGAAAACATTTTCCTCCCCATTCTCCAGAACGCTGTGGCCAGCGTGACACTTGGCTCTTGTCTCTCCTGGCCTGAAAACAGGGCGGGGCGCTCCCACCTCTGGCCTCTCCCCTGGCCCCGCCCTGTTTTCAAAAGTCACGTGAACTTCACCTGCATATTCTATCCTCCGAGGGTCCACATTCTTTACAGTGTCCAGTCTCAATGCGGGCTGCATTTCAAGGTGTCGCCCTGAGTTCTGACCACCCTTCAAACGTTCTAAAAGCCCCACGTGCACACCGGAACCCTAACAGCTTTGTTCCGGAATTGGGGATGCTCCCCAGTGACCCGGTGGCCCTCGGGCCCGACAGAGGCGTGTCGCTCTTTGGGCTCTCGGCTCCCGGGCCGTCACCCAGATATTAAAAAAACCAAGGAAAAGAAGAAGCAGGACATGGTTTCTCCCTAAAGCCTAAAGCAGCTTGTTTAATTCCCCAGAGACCGTGGCCCAGGAGGACACCAACCTCAAGGGCAGGGCGGTCACTGCCTGGAGCCACAGTCTCTGTCTTTGCCACATTAAAGCTCCACCCACTGGTCCCAACATCCCACGCATGTTCCCCTTTGGTGCACCGCCTGCACGTGTGAGCGTGTGTTCCCGCACGTACGTGTGCATGCGTGCATGTGTGAGTGTGTGTTCCCGCACGTACGTGTGCATGCGTGCACGTGTGAGCGTGTGTTCCCACACGTACGTGTGAGCGTGCACGTGTGAGCGTGCATGCCCACATGTGTGTTGGGAGGCAGTCTGTCTAGGGGGTGGAGGGGAGGCTTGAACATCGCTCAGGGGTCAAGACTCACGTCATGGAGGTCACATCCGACCAGCTAGAACGGGGTGGAGGGGAGGCTTGAACATCACTCACGTCATGGAGGTCACATCCGACCAGCTAGAAAACCGCACGATACAATTAAGAGTAAACCTCACTCAGGTCAGGGAAAATGTTTCCAGCAAATACGACAACATGGCGCGTGAAGAAGTTTTACAAAAATGACAAGAGATACCAAGACGCCATCCTAGGACTGAAACAGGTGCATTACCCGTGAAGAGGTCACAAAGGAAAACAGAACCCGAGGACAGGACCTCGTCCCGAGGGATAAGGAGAGCAAGGGCGAGCGGGTGGCGGAGAGGTCCAGGACACACCGACTAAAGTGGACACTAAGCGTGAAAATTCATCACCGGCAGCGTGCGCTGTCCGAGGCGAGATGACGCACTCGCACTCGCTGTCAGAGAGGATACAGACCCTTCCGGAAAACACTCTGGGAAACTTCCTACCTCGTTCCAGGGATCCTACTCCTGGGACATTATCCTAAGGACACAGCGCGGTAGGAAGAAAGGCATGGGAATGCCGGAGCATCATTTACAGCAGCGGCGACGTCAGCAAAGGTCCCCTCTTGTAGGCGTTTGGTTTAGTATTTTGTGATTAATCACCTCAATAGGTGATTGAAATTAAGACGGCAACACGGAAACTGCTTTAGCTACATTAACTCAGTGGAGCAGAACACGAAATCGTATCTACGACCGTAAGTCGGGGAAATTCACACATATAAACGGAGTCGCTTGGAAAAATGCAGAGAAATGAAAACACTCTTCTGGGTGGTGCTGCCATGGGTTCATTTTGAAATTTTTTGTCTCCTGCTCTCCTTGTTGACCACATGACCCACGTGGACCTGCGCAGCGTAGGCAGCACGTGTGTGCGTACAGACAGACGCAGGACTCAGACCGCCGATCACACGTCATTCCCCTTCACCATCTGCCCTTCCGCCGCCAGGAGTGGCTCACGGCCCCACGCGCACGTGACGGGTGAGTTAGTTTCAAACGCGGCCGATGTGTTCTGCTTACCTAGGAGCACCCCGGGGGGCAGCTGGGCCGACGGGTGTTTCATCCAGTCATCGTTGGCCAGTTCTACCACGGCGTCCACGTGCCGAACCTGAGTGCAGATCAAGTCGCTCACTGTGTCCTCATCGCCGGCGTCCAGGGCGGACTTTAATCGCTTTGCTAAGTCTGAGCTGAGCGGGTAGTCGGGCAGGCGGTCAGGGTCGGCCATCGTAGTGCTGTCTGTGTGTTGACCACACTGCTTTTCTTCTTAACAGAGTCCAAAGTTAGCAGCTGTGCCCGAGAGGGCTGTGGGGGTTGCTATAAATAGAAAAGACAGGCTCGTGTTCCAGCCGAAGGGAAGGCCACTGGCTGGCAGCCCACAGGGGGATGGGAATTCGGCTCCCATGGCCTCCGCGAAGGCCTATTCTAGAGACAGGGCCAACAGCCGTGTTTGCGGTGGCGGTTAAGAACAGGGGACAGTATTTTAAAAGAAGGCTCTCATAGGTGCTGTTGAATAATGTTCTCTTTTATCAAAAGTGAGACTCTATTCTGAAACCTTAAAAGCTTTTTTCCCGAGACCGGACTCGGAACGCTGTTCTGTTGAAAAGCACGTTCTGTAACGTTCCCTACGACCTCCTCCTTCGCTTCATCTGATGGGGGGTCGGGCTGGCTGTCAACTGGACACGTTTCGAACTGGAGAGCGTAGAGTGCAATCTTCGGATTCCAGATTCACAGACGGACTGCCTGGTCCCAAGGGGACAAAAGCGTCACATGGGTGGACAAAAGAAAGTCACCTAAGTGTCAGCAGCCTCCGCACCCCTTAGGGCTGGGAAACTTGGCTTCGAGGACCCAATCCCATGATCCGTGGGGGTGCGAAAGCGCCTCGTGTTGCTGTCTGTGTGCCCCCTGGGGGTGACGGGGCGTTTTTCTCATCATCTCTGTCTCTGGTGTTCCCGGACCTCCCACGTGACCCTGGGCGCAGCACGCAGCTGCCCCAGCAGTTTGTCTGGAAGTTGTGGTGATCTGAGGGCCCCGTGTAGCTTTTAAAGAATTAATTTTTTGATTTTTTGGGGGGGTTGAAATCTATTTGCCCTAGAACACCCCGTAAGTTGAAGGTGGGCATCATATTGAGTCGCTGCGTTTACATGTCGCAATGTGACTGCCATTGCAGTGCTAGCTGGCACCTCTGTCAGCTCACGTGATTGTCATGCCCTTTCTGTGGATAATTAAGGGCCAGTCTCTTAGCCAAGATGGATGTTTATGACACGATGCCGCCGTCTGCATTCACTACGCCGCGCGTGAGATCCCAGGGCTTAGTTACGTACCAGCTGTGAGTTTGTACCCAGAAACAACACCTCTCCTACCCGCCGTATAGAAGTGGCTGACGGGACCGTCGATCAGTCGCTTCTCCTCCACCTTGAACCCCAACCTTATCCCCTCTTCTCTTTCCTGCTTTCTCTTGTCTCCCCTTGTGACGGTTAATTTCATGTGTCAACTTAGCTGGGCCATGGTGCCCAGATATTTGGTCAAACATTATTCTGGATGTTCCTACAAAGGCATTTGTTTTTTGGATGGAATTAACGTTTAAGTTGGACTTTGAGTAAAGCAGATTACCCTCCATAATGTAGGTAGGTCTCATTCAATCAGTTGAAGGCCTGACCAGGACAAAGACTGATGTCCCCCAAGCAAGAGGAAGTTCTGATAGTAGGTGGCCTTTGGACTTGAGCTGTAACTTTTCCTGGGTCTCCAGCCTGCTGGCCTTCTCTGCAGATTTTGAACTTGTTGGTCTCCACAGTTGTGGGAGCCGACTGCTTAAAACAAATCTTTCCCACACATACACATCCTGTTGGTTCTGTTTCTCTGGAGAAACTGGCTAAGCCTCCCTTCCTCCTCTTGGCTCCCACGTACGATTTTGCAGGTCCTGTTTCGTACCCCAACACTTCCCCGACGTGAGCGGCATCTGCCTTTGGGGACCAGCCCTCGTTCCCACCCAATATCTGTCCTCCTTTCTCCTACTGAACAGAGCGTGGGTTTTCTCTGCTGTGCCCGGCCCCTGGCGATGAATCGCGTTGGTTTACGACAGCAAAGTCAGTCCTAATCTCCTCCGCCAGCTGCTCACTCGGCGTGTCAGACCCCCCTGGCGACCCAGTTCTGGCCGCGAGAGTGGGCGTGGTCTGCTCCGGCGCACCTGGGAATATTTTTCCTTCCCTGATGGAAAGAAACAGTGGCCGGCGCCTCCGTCCCCTTTCTTCTTTCCTTGAACATGGACACGATGTGTGGAGCTGTGGCAGCCGTACTACAGCCATGAGGCGGCAGGCAGATGACGAAGGAGCGACATACTAAGGGCGGGACGGAAGGAGGGGGAGAGACGGTGCCTCGAGGACACTTCTGAACCTTTGTCTCAGCGCGGGGCTGCCAGCCACCAGACTTCCGGTCGCTATTCCTTAAGCACCGTTCACATGCCGTCTGTGGCTAGCAGCTGAAAGTGTTCGTGGTCGACGTAGGTCACGTGTTCACTCTGCCTTTAAAGCTGTGACAATGTCCTGGTTTCAGTCTGAAGAGAGGCGGCAGACACGGCTCAGCCTGTGATAAAGAGTGTGAGTTAACCCGCCTTGTTTTTATTCTTCGGTGATTGGACTCCCGCCCTCCGTGATAAAATCCCATGGCGTTGAAAGACGGCAGGCGACCCCAGACCCCCCGAGTGATGGAAGAGTGGCATCATGGGCGGGGTCTCGGGGAGCAAGCAGCCAGGGCCACGTGCGGAGGGGACCGCCTTCCAGTGTCCCAGGGGCTGAAAATAAACGCTGACGGAGACAGTTTTGGAATCACCGGTCATGGGCTCTGCCGGGAAAGGTGTGAACTCGGCGGACCAGGCATCAGTTCAGACGTCTGACCGACTTGCAGAGAGTGTGGTTGGCCCCCGGTTCCTCCTTTGGCCGAAGAATGACAGGTTTTGAAAGAAATGTCAAAGCACAAGTGCTTTGCAGCATCAAATGCCTTACGTCAGAAAGACATTCGACGCCAGCACGTTTGCGTCAATACTCAGAGAGAGGGACAGAGGATAGTGACCACACGAAAATTAGCGGAATCTGGGTGACGTAATTTAAAGCAGTAAACCGAGAATGATTAGAGATTGCTATCGATCTTCACATCAGAAGGGAGGTGGAGATGAAGCACTCGTGAGGCAGATAATAAGATGACAAAGCCTCAAAATATGGCGCTCACTGATCTTAATTACCAAGCGAGCTGCTGGGTGTTTAATCAGTGGCACATACACTATGCTAATTATTCTGGCTAATTTTGTTAGAATGTAAGTCTTTATCAACCCCGCTATGTATAAATTAGGGATTGAAATGTAACTAACACAAATTATATTTAAGGCAACATGAATTTCTTTATTTCGGTGTGAAGTCTTCTACTCTATTTCCTAATCTTTTCTTTTTCGATTAGCTCAGGCGACCACCCCCCACCCCCCCGCTGCCAGCCCTGCCTCAGTGCCCTGGGCCGAAGCGTCTCTCGAGGAGGAAGGAAGCTGGCACCTCTTCGGTTCTTGGGAATCTCATATTTGACTTTCTCCTTCTGTGATTGTCCTTGAATATATTGACGTATATTCAAGGACAGACAGATCCTGGCTTCTCTGAATGAGACGGAGTTCGCTTTATGGCTCTGCTTTAATTTTGAGATAATCACCGGAGGGTATCATCAGTCACGTATTTTCAGCGACATATCGTGTGTGACTTACGTCATGTTCACGAATGTGTTCAGATGAGGACTGATAACACAGCTCTCCATAGAGAAGCATAAATATTTTCTAGAATTTTCTGCGGCGCGCGGTTTGTCTCTGGTGAGGGCAGGCTGGTGCAGACGTCTCCTGTCCCACATTCTCTTTCTGCATACTCTTACTTTTGGACTATTTTGCAGCAAAGTAACGGGGACCGAGTAGATTCGACGTGGGTCTCATTTAGCCTCAGCACCTGTTAGATTTGAACATCAGCCAGGGTCCATTGCCAGCAGAGGCTCCCGGTGGGAGAAATGGTCAGGCCCAAGTGCTCAGACCCCATCCTGACCTCAGGCCAGGGGACAAGCATGGTGCAAATCCAGACGAATGCACAGTGACCGTGGCGTGGTTCTGTGAACGTGGATCCGCTTCTCACACTGATCTCTTCGTGGAGCCCGAATGCCCTCTGTTTCATGGGGTTTTGGAGGTGGGCGGCACCTTTGATACGAGGGTTCCTGGTCAGCGGGGCCCAGGGCACCCGTGGATCACGTCTCTCTTCCAGACCCAGCTCGGGGTGGCCCTGTGCTTCCTTCCCAGGCCCTAGGGCTTCTGTCCCCTCTCCCGGCCACGTCGCCGGTCTCCGTCCCACGGTCTCATTCGTGGCTCTCCCCGTTCCGGGCTCCCGCAGCGCAGATGCGTCTCTCCGTGGTCGGGACCTCTCCGATTTGGCCACAGACTCCCCTAAATTCCTTTTCAGTGAGTCTCTCACAGCTCTGCAGGCTCGATGGATGCAACCTAGACGTGCGTGCGAATGTGTTTCCCGTCGTGCGGGGCACCGGCTCCCCCGCGCGCCCGCCGGGCCCCGGGAGGCCGCTTCGTAGAGTGACGCTGTTCCGTGGTCTTCGTGGGCAGCTCCTTGTGCGCTGAGAAAACGGGGGCCCCTTTCATTTCCTTCGTGAAAACGCGATGGGACGTGGCCACGAACTGGATGTGACGGAAGCCGATCACGGCGCTCGCATTTTTTTTTGTTTTTTGTCTGTGGGGACATGATTGATGATGGCACAAAGATGGAGTCGTGTGATGGGAGGCGTGGCTGTTTTTCGTTAATGCAGCCGTCAGAGATGAAATGACAGCAAACAAACACTTTTCGAGCCGCAGTGCATGCCAGGCCCTTCTCCGTGTGCTGAGAATAGGGGACACGACATACTCTCTGCTGACGCAGGGCGGTGACCCACGCCCGGCGCTCCTCTGACGGTGCCGAGGGCATAAGCTCCTTTCCCCTCCCGATGGTTCTGCGAGGCAGACGCTGTCACGATCGCGTGACTAGCGAAACGGTTCGCTGCAGGTGACACTGCTGCTTAGTGGCGGAGCTGGGAGAGGAAGGCGGGAGTCCGTGCTCTCTGGGATCGGGTCGGCCCCCTTCCCGGCCGTCCACCCCCCAGCCCGACTCTGCTCTCTCGGAATCAGTTTCTTCCTCTTCCTGCCTTTCTGTCCTTTTGGTCTTTTTTGAG